TATGAGATGGAGCAGAAATCTGATGGACGTGGACCCGATGGCGAAGGCCCTGAGGGGGAAGTGGGGCGACCTCCAGACCGATTTGTCGCTTCTAAAATACGCAGATGACCTGAACAAGTTTATCGTTGCAACTGAGGGTATGACGTTTGTCGATTTCTTAGATAAGATTTCTGAGATTGATGCTCTGTTGAACGATTCCCTCTCGGATTTTGGCCTGGCCCAGAATATGAGTAAGCAAGAGTGTCTGTTCTACTTCTCGGGGGCGGGCTCGCATTACTTTCGTAAACTGCTTCGTGCTGCTGATCGCTTCGGCCTGGCGGGGGTTCCCAAAGAAGACGCCGGGTACTTGGGCCCCCATCTCGCTCTTCGGGGCAGCGCCCACCGCGAAGTTGCCAGACGTTGCGAGGCAGCCAGGCGGGCCTTCTTCTCGCTGGGGGGCATTTGGTCGCTACCCATCGTTCGTCGACATAAACGCTCACTGCTACAAGGCCTGGTGCAAAACGCTCTGTTATCTGCTCTCGAGGCTTTCTGGCTTTCTCCTCGAGATTATTCTTTGCTGGATGGGTGTATGGCGGGGTTAGCACGAACAGCGATGCAGGGCAAAGCCACCGACTGGGAGGGGGAGCATGTGCACAGTATGAGTACGCAGCAGGTTCTGGATTTCTGGGAGCTCACGGGTTCCAGGGTCGAGCTATACGTCCGTCGCCTTCGGCTGTACCAAAGTTGGGCTGCTGATCCTGAAGGGGCTTCCCAGGTTCTTATTGCGCTTTTCGGGTCCCTGGAGATCGATTCCGCTCGGCCGCCGTGCTTGGGTGGAAAGCTGATTCAATGGGCCTCACCGTGGGCCCGTCAGGTGGTGGAGGATCTAAGTACAGCAGCCCAACTTATTGACGAGCAGTGCATTGAGGACGTTGCCCACGACTTGAGGATCCTGGCAGATCGTGATCGGAGTGTTGAGTTCCTGGCCATCGACATGACTAAGATTCGCTCGAGGGTCTTCTCGGTAGAGGTCCCACCCCTGGGTCATGCAGGCCAGATGTCAAGCAGTGGTCGTGTTATGCAGCCGTGTGACTACGAGGCGACCTCTGCAGCAATTTCCTCTTGTACGCATGTCCTGCCTGATGTCCCTGAGGGCCCCTCTTGGCGCTGTAATGTCCCTGGCTGTGAGAGCAGATTTCACTCGAGGAAGCAGTTGTTGAACCACCTTCGCTTTGCACATCACCAACGTAAACTCTCGTCTGTGCTTACGCCTACTAACATCTGTATTTGCTCCAAGGCCGTCTTTCGTGATAGGTGGTGTGCGGGGAGGCATCTAGAGACGGCCATGCTCAAAGGTACTTGCCCCGTGGGAGGAGGTCGCACGCTCTTGCCTCTGGTGCAACCGAATTCGCACTCGTGTCGTCTCTGCCAAAGCGAACAAGCTGATCTCGATGGGCTTTGCTGCCAGTTGGTTCAACAGCATCTCCCAGTCCATGTGACGACACCCACCTCCGCTCGAGGTCGCGAGGATGGCGACGCAGGGGCAGGGCAGTGCAGATTTACCCCTGCCAGCGCGGTTCAAAGACAAGAAGCGCCGCCTCGAGGCCGGCGCCGAGGACGATGCGAAGGAGGGCGAGAAGGACAAGGGCGGCGTGAAGGAGGTCAGCATGGGCAAGGGCGGCAAGGGCAGCGCCCAGGCCAAGCTCGTGACCCTCATGGCGCGCCTCCTCGTCACGCTCGAGCGGGACGTCGCAGAGTTGAAGTCGACGGTCTACGAGTGCGCCGTCCTCCCAGCCGCCAACTCTCTCGTGGAGGCCAGCGTTCGCGCGGGCAAGGAGTACAACAACACCAGCAAGGACATGAAGAAGGCTCAGAATCAGGGCGAGGCCCAGGACTGGAAGGGCCGAGGCAGCCCACACTTGCACATTTTCATGACTTTCATGATCGCCGCCGTCTCGCTGTTCACGGAGAGGAAGGACGAGGAGATGAAGACGGTCGTGATCAAGGCCATGACGGACCTCAGGTCGGTCCCTCTGCCAGAGCTGGGGCTCATCGTGCGGGTCTTCCGCGTGCGCCTGCACAAGATCAAGGATGGCGAGGAGCGCACGGGCCACTTCGAGTGGGCGATGGACGGCAGGTCCCCCGCGGGCCTCGCACTGCGCGAGCTGATGGGCAGGGCCATGACGAGCCAGTCGGCGGAGAGGATGTCAGGCCCAGCCCCACGGGGCCCACTGGCGAGGGAGATCATCGGCCTGAGCAGCAAGAGCTGAGCCTCCCTGGCCTCCCCAGCCGCCAGGCCCTTCTCAGGAGTGAGAGGCTAGCAGAGTTGTTGCGCAGAGGCGCCGTCTCGGCCGAGGCGGTGCATCGCGCCACGCAGGTTCATATTGCTACATATTCCCATGCTGCTCTTCCGTCCATTCCTGTGGCCACTCTCGCCCCTGCCCGTCCCGCTCGTCCCAGGTCCCGCCCACCCCACTCTCAGAAAGGCCAGAAAGGTGGAGCGAAGGGCTCACGCCCTGCGGGCGGCGCCCTATAGGGGATATCGTGCCCCTGGGGTTGCCGCTTGGGCCCGTGCCCCAATCGGGGAGCGCGCGGCCAGCACTGTGCAGAAGTCGGCGGACTGCCGCCCCCTCAGAGCCCTCGGCGTCAAGGACACGTCCCCGCCGCAGGACTCCGCGAGCTTGTCTTGTCTTGTCTCCTCCTCCTCCTCCTCCTCCTCCTCCTCCTCCTCCTCCTCCTCCTCCTCCCGTTCCTCCTCCGCCTCCTCCTTCTCCTCCTCGGCAACGAAGAGATGGACGCGCTGGAGACCATGGACCCCGCAGAGATTGGCAGAGTGCTCCCAGTGCTGATGAAGTTGGTCCTGAATCTGGCGCTCCGGACGCGGCAGGCAGAGGCGATCACCATCATCACCCTGCTGGCCCCGATCGGGCTGAAGCCGGTTCTCGCTCACTTCCGCACGATATCGTGCGCGGCGGTTGTGGGCCTGGTCGGGGACCTCCTGGCAGAGGGGGAGGGCGCGGGGAGAGCGGACATCAAGAAGCTGCAGCAGCTCAGCGGCCACAGGGACGTCGTGAGCACAGACGCGGCGGGAAAAGTTCTCGCTCCTGTCAAGGTGTCCAGCGCGCACAAGGAGACGGATGCCAAGATCCAGACGTGCGTCAACAAAGAGGCCCTCAGCATCAGCAGCGGCCTCGAGCAGCTGGGCGCCCAGCGGAGGGACGGGGTGGCGCCCGTGCACCCCCTCGAGCGGGTCATCCGCGCAGGCCTGTGCAGTTGGGAGGAGTGGTGGCTTCAGGGGAGCACCAGCACCCGAAACCCGAGGGTGAGCAAGCGGGGCGGGTCGAGTGGTCGGCTTGCCAACATGTGCCTCCGCCCTGCGACAGCCCTCGCTCCTCTTCTCGCGATGCGGTTGCCTCTGTGCGAGCTGCCCGGTGGGACAGCACCACGGTCAGAAGCACGATCGGACTGCTTCATGGCAGGAGGTAATAGCATCCCCAGGCTTCTGGGGCCCAGTGCAGCGGCCGCTCACTATTGTGGGCCCTTCCTTTTCCTCCTCCCTCCTCCTACCCATGTGTGCCTCTTGAACGGCGCTTCTGCAAAAAATAGGCTTCATCCGATTGGTTGCAAGAGCTCGCCGACAATCCATTGCACCGTCTGTCGGTTCCCGGCGTATCCGTTTCAGGTTCGCCGTTCCCGGCGTATCCGTTTCAGTTTCTGTTTGTGCCGGGGAGGCTACTCCACGGCTGTAGCTCGACAGGCTTGCATGAGGGTCGGATGCAACCTTTAACAAGTTGTGGATCCTCATAGGGCGTGCGCGTGCACGAAATCTTCGGTTGTTGGCTGGTCCTAGAGCGTCTAGTCTACTCAGACGTCGAACTGTGCTCCAGAGGCGTGCGTCGTCGTCCTCCTCCTCATCCTCCTCCTTGTCCTTTTCCTCCTCCTCCTTCTCCTCCTCATCATCATCATTACCACCATCAGCAGCATCATAATTAATCACCAGCATCAGCACCATCATCAGCACCATCATCATCATCATCATCAACATCATCATCATCATCATCATCATCAGCAGCAGCATCATCATCATCATCATCATCATCATCATCATCATCATCCACTCCCTCCTCCTCCTTCTCCTACTCATCCTCCTCCTGTTCCTCCTCCTCCGTAGCAATTTGGCTCAAGCCGCATGCTAGGCCGTGGCCCCCGACGCGCCACCTTCGTATGTCTATGTGTTGCGCTCGCTGCTTGCTGGCTCTATGTGGCGTTCTATTGGTTTGCACGAGTTGAGGTGATGCCCCACTGCCGATCCTTCGAGCGGAGGTGTCGGCGGCACTTCCGCGCAGTTCAGCAGCGTTACTGGCGTCCTCTTCGCCCTGGGGAGCGATATGTTCGGGTCCCGACTGCACTTCATTCGAACGCTCCTGCTGTTTTGCATGATTTACATCCGCATGGAGTTTTGCAAGAAATTGGAGGTCGCCCTGCTCACAGCCTTCGGCACGCCATCGGCACGCCATCGGCAATTGTGCGCGCCTGCTTTCCGGCGACGTGGGCCAGCAGCTCTTGCATGCAAACAAGCGGCACGGCAAAACGAAGCACCGCATCCCGAGTTTGAGCAATGGCTGCGCCCTCCCTGCTATTCGGCCTCGTTCTCTTTGCCTGGGTTTTCTTCTTCTCGCTCACCTTCAGCGGCGGCCTCTGGCCCTGCGGCTTGCTGATATCCTACCGGACACTCTCGGCAAAAACAACCTCATCGCAATCTCGGACATGCCCTCGGCTTTCTCGCTGGGCTTGCACACGCAGTTCGTCTCCTTCAACCAGCCCTTGATATTCCCGATTGCGACGCGCATGGACTCAGGCATCATACAGTGGGCGGCTTGAATAAAGAACACCTACTTTTCAAAAGGGGCTCGGTCGTTCCTTAGGTTCGCATGTGTTATTTACAGTTCCTTATGCGTTGCATGTTATTTATCGCGTTCCTCTATGCGTTATTCCTGGGGATAAAAAAGAGGCTTCGTTCCTTATTTAGGGTTCCTTAGGTCAAGGCCCCGACTGTACAGGATGCGGCTGTCTTGGCGGAGCTGCAGCCAAGTAGGTCGTCGTTTGCTCGTTATATTCTTGCTCTCGCCGCCCTGTGTGTGCGCTCCCGCGTCGTCCTCTGCTACGCCGCATTTGGGTGCGACCGCTGAGCATGATACAGTGCCGTTTGTTATACATGCTCCGCGTGCGGATCATGTATTAAAATGCAGGGATCGAGTATTCAAAACAACGATGAGTTCATGCATATATTTATTCGTATATTAATCATGTATTAAGATAAGATGGTAAAAAAAACCTATGTATTAGAAGCTGCCCTGTACTCTTGATTGCTACGACCATGCCAACTGGGGCATTGACTTTGGATTTGAACTGCGGAGGTTCGAGGAGCAGGCGTCCTGTGGTGCTGGTCGCGTGGACTCTCTGGCCGAAGGCGTGCACACAGGCAGTCATGGAGAAGCCGCTGCAGCCGTGCATCCTGCTCCTCCTGGTGAAGTGGTTCGTGCCGGCCTTGGTGGTACACCTGCTTGTACAGACTGTGTTGGGGGCAGTGTCCGCGACGCTCGTCTTGTTCCCGTCGACGCTGCTCGTGCCGAGCGTTACGGGGTGGTTGCGCCTGCCGATGGTGGTGACGTTTCTGCACGTGCCGACGGTCGTGATGATGCTGGCTGTGGCGATCACTCGTATCCTGTTGCGCATGTTGAGGTTCCTGGTGAAGCTGTTCGTTCCGAACTGTTTGGAGTGGTCTGTCGAGCCGTTCGTGGCGATTCATGGTCTGCGTGCCGATCTTCCCGGAGGAGCTATTCGAGACGAGCTACCTGGGGCGGCTCCTGGCGTTGCTCATGGTGATGGTCCTGCGGCTTGCCCGCTGCCCCCATGAGTGCCCTGAACCCGCAGAGGCCCCGCTCGCTGTTCATTGCATGAAGTTCTGGGATGTGGGCCCGCGGATTCGCACCGCGGGTGCGCGCATCTTCTCCCCTGCCTGCCATCAGGGCGATCAATCTCGAACACATGCGTTTGTCGTCGATCGTTGTGGATGTTGAGGGCTTTCTGGCTTTGACTGCTGCTCAATGGCGACTGCGTGTTGCCAGCATGCTCGCCACCGATAGTTTCTCAGATGGTGCGGCTGCTGACCAAGATCCACAGGGGGCTTCGCATGTTCTTCGTGCTGGCCCCAAAGCTGCGGACGGCGATCAGCATGGATGTCGCGATGAGGGTCCTGATGATGATCCTGACTATTTCCTGCAGTGGCTCGTTGACCATTCCGAGCGTGATAGCGTGCTGAGCAGACTTGATGTTTCTCACGAGCGGCGAGCTGGTCATGAAGCTGGGTGTGAACAGCATGTATTTCGAGATGTTCATCGTGGCGCTCATGATGTTTCCCACGGTCGTCGGGCTTGTCCTGAAGCTGATTGTGGTGTACAGCATGTATCTCGAGATGAACGCCGTGCTTCTTGTGATATTTCTCACGATTGGCGGGCGGGTACTGGTGCTGCTGGTGCTGAGCTGCACGTGTTGCGAGATGAACTCCGTTGTTTTCTTGCTGCTTCTCTGGGTAGTCGAGCTCGTCCTGGTTCTGCTTCGTATGTGCTGCCTGAACGTCGAGATGGTCTCTGTGGACATCACGAGGTGTATCGCGAGTTGGGCTGGTCCTGAGGATGATCGTGGTGCGAAGCATATATTGCGAAGTGGATTCCGTGTCTCTCGTGATGTATCTCGCGGTTGCCAGGCTGGTTCTGAAGCTACTGGTGCCAAGCAACATGAGTTCCAAGATGAATTCCGTGGCCCTCGTGAAGTTTCTCACGATTGTCGGGCTGTTCCTGAAGCGTCTGGTGGTGCAAGGGACGTATTGCGAGATGAACTCCATGACCCTCTTGCAGTTTCTCTCGTCCGTCGGGCTGGTCCCCAAGCTGCTGCGGTTGGTCCGCATGTATTTCGAGATGCAGATCCGGATGACGACCCTGACTATTCTCTGCATCGGGTGGTGGCATCGTGGGATTGGTGCAGAAGCCTGAACTCAACGGCGCCCCGCGTGCTGCATCCTAGCACAACGGGGCTGCCCAGCGGTGGGTAGTCCGCCCATCCGGCCAGAACCCGCCCGTCCTGATCAAGCGCGACAGCCTCATCCCCAACGTGCCGTCCGACTCTGACCGCGGCCCTCGGCCTGGCTCCCCTCCTCGCCTTCCCCGCCTTCCCGCCGTGCGCGTGCGATTCTCGGGCGTCCTCTTCTGCAGCGGCGCGCTCCGCGAGGTCGCCTTCCTCCCCTCCGCCTTGTGCTCCGGCGCCGTCGACACGGCCTCGTGCCGCGCTGCCTGCTCGTTCGGAGAGCTCCCACAACCACGAGAGCTTTGACGATCACTTCGGCCACGACGCTTCCTTCGGCTCCTCAGGCATCCACCTGGACGACGCCACCGCGGGCTTGAGAGGCGGGGTGCGGCAGGCGGCCCAGGCGGGGAAACCGATGGGTGACGCTCGCTCCTCCTCCGCCTCCTCCTCCTTCTCCCCGTGGCCCTCCTTCTCCTCTCCCCCCCAGCTCCTCATCATCCTCGGCCTTCTCCTCCCTTCTTTTTTCTCCTCCTCATCCTTCTCCTCCTCCTCTTCCTCCTCTTCCTCGTCCCCATCCTCCTCCTCCTCCTCCTCCCCCTCCTCCTCCTCCTGATCCTCGTCGTCGTCCTTCTCCTCCTCCTCGAAAGCACGTCTTCCTCCCCTCCTCCTCCTCCCTCCTCTCCTCCTCCTCCTCCTCCTCTTCCTCCTCCTCCTCCTTTCATATGCCCTTCTCGTACTATTAGTGCTCCTTTTCCCCCGCCTCCTCAACCTCCTCCTCATCCTCCTCCTCCTCCTCTCCTCCTCCTCCTCCTCCTCCTCCTCCTCCTCCTCCTCCTCCTCCTCCTCCTCCCCCTCCTCCTCTATTCCTCCTCCTCTTCTACCTCCCCCTCCGCCTCTCCCACCTCTACCCCACTCTGGCCCACGTAAGGAACTCCGAACAGCAAGGGGGCCTCCATTACACGAGCTCTGGATTCCTACACCCCCTACACCCCAGGGCGAGGGAGGGGCCGCGCACCGCCAGGCTGGGTGCACGTCTTGACGGCGCTTTAATTTCACGCGATGCCGCCGGATCGGCTACAGCCCGCGCAGCCTCGTCCAGACGAGGCGCCGGATGGAGATCAGCGAAGCGATGAGGTTTGCCGCGTTCGTTTCGATGACAGGCATTCGGTTGCGTGCGACGTCCAGCTCATCGGCTTGGTCCCAAACTCAGGGTCTGCATCACTTCATACACTTCGGCCTTGGCCGCAGTCCTTCCACAAGTCGGTGTGCTAGTGTGTCTCTCGGAGTACATAAAAATGTGTTCGCGCAGGGTGTTGTGTATCGGACTTCGGCGCCACCAGATGTTGCGATGAGCTATGGCGGCCTGATGGTATTCACCTCTAAGCAGGTCGGCGTCACGATCACCGCCATCCACTTCCCAATTACTGTTGCCCCAGCCGCGGTTTTCACGCCTGGAAGATGACGACCAGGATGCTGCTTGCGTGGCTCGACAAAGAGTTGTGTGCACAACGTTGCCGCTCCATGTCATTGACCAGCACACTGATTTAAATGATTCGTTATCCTTGGTACCGGTGAGCACACTCAACATCGCATGGGGCACGTTACAAACATAACCTTGGGAGGCAGGCACTGGCGCCGTCGCTCTAGGGTCCTCACAGGCCTCGCCGTCGTTGTGATGCTGCCGCCGCTGGCGCGCGAGATCCCCGTGCGCGCGCTACCGTGGCACGTTCTTTACGCCTGCAGGTACGATTGGACCGCAGCTTCAAGCGTGCGACCGCGGACGGCGCGCCTTCAAAAAGTCCTAGTGCAGTCGAGCCCCATGGAAGGCCAAGCGCTTGGTGCTCATCAGCGTTGTACAGGGTGCCCTCCACTCGGGCCTCACTCCGTTCTGCCGTTCGCCCTCGCAGGAGCGCGAGATTCACGCAGCCTCTTGAGGAAGATCCAATCTACTGCTCAGGGACACGCGGGTGATTAGCCGGGGCCCCATCCCAATGCGCGGAACACTCGTCCGACGCGGCTCTGGCCCGACATGGTTCCAAGCAGTCATGAACTACTGACCCAGCAACCACAGCGGTGTCGGAGCATAGCTAGATGGTCCGAGGACCGCGCTCAGAGTATAACAATCTCGCGCGGTCGGCTTGCCGTCGATGGCTGAGACGCGATACGGACGGGGCGGTCACGAACGAAGCGAACCCCATGTGCCCAGCGGTTCGCGAGCGACGTCAAGTGTCTGCGTGCCCTTACTACGATGGAGGATTGGGAGGAGAGGTGGGGCTGCCTTGTCGCCGCCCTACTCGTGGATGAGGATGCACGTCGCACGTTCCAGCGTGATCCGCCAACCGCGGAAACTCGGGCGGGCGGGTCCCATGATTGATTAGGGAGATAACCCTGAGGACGGCGATGGGCGGGGCTCAGCTTAGCTTCGTTTTCGGCCTCGGCAATATGCGGCAGGGGGGCCTGTCTGCAGAGCTGGGTTCGCTACGCGCAGGAGCACCACGGTGCATGGCGCGTTCGCCGAGGGAGGCGCTCACAGCAAAGCCTCCATTCTGTATAAGTGCGTGCGTGTGATTAAAACCATGTCCGTGGTGCATGCAAAGCATTGTTTTTTTCAGAGGAGTGCAAAAGGCCTT